TGAAGCGGCTTAAGACATGAAAAAACAGAACTAATCTCAAGCTAAGGTTGATGGCATGCCTTCAACATACAGCCCAGTTATTGTGTAGCAGATTAATGGGTGTTTGCCTGATTATTAATTCTCATTCTGTGATTAGTGCAAAACCACTGTGCAAACAGTTTTATCCCCTCACTCTACACGGTTTTGGCAGCCCGAACCCAGCGGCACCTCCTTGTTATAAAGTTACACTCCTCATGGCATCAATTCTTCATCAATAACACGCAGTGCATAAAATCCAAAGCCAAGAATTGATGGTGCACTCAGCGTGACTCTGGCTTCTGGGGGCTTTCAAATGCCACAGGAAAGGGACTCGCTGGCTGGAGCCCAACAGAATCTGCTGACAGATCTGGGTAGCTGAAGTCTTATAACGAAAAGGTGTGAATTAGACTAAATAAATCAGGATGAGACAATTAAATTAAAAATTAAAAAGTGTGTCCTGATGAGAGATTTTTTTTTTAAATTTAGATCTCCAAACATTTTTCTTACTTCAAACCTCCTGTTCTCTCTTATCTGCTCCCAGTGACGCCAGTTTCAATCCGAACACATCACTTTTTGAGATCCGTATCTCTTCCCTCTTTCCTAATCTGTTGCCAAGGAAACGTCGCATCAGAGCGGATCATCTGAGGGTATTGGATAAATATAATCTATATGATGCATTCTTTCCATCTGAGATGGTCAATGTGAATTGTCTGTGACCTTTTTCATAATCACTGACTATTCATTCCTCCTTAAAGAGGGCAGAGTTTCCCACACAGGTTATGCAGTTTAATAGAGATTTCTGGTAGCAAATGGAAAACCCAGCAGCAACATGTGACATCAGATCAGCAATAATCAGGAAAAGCATCCAATTACTTTGAAAACGTGGAAGAAGCCACAAAATTACACATAATTCCAGCTAAGGACATCAAAGTACTTTGTACTTACATGTACATTTCCTATTCCTCTTTTTTGCTTCCACTGCCAAAACATTTGGGTTCAAAACAAGAGATCACAGCTCAAATTATTTCTGGTATTTAAAAACAACAACAAAACAAAACAAAAAAAACTAGAAAAGATGCGTTAGTCGGAAACTTTGTGGGCGATGTCTAATGTCCTGTTTTATCAACAGTCTGAGATCTCTACCTAAAGCTTTTATCAGTTTTTTTTTTTTTTTTTTTTCAGTTAAAATATTAACTTGAATCTCAGAGTTTGACTAAAGTCTAAAATCATGGATAGTGATTAGAATCAAATGCATAAAAGAAAAACTTTCACTGCAATTTTTCTGAATCCAGAACAAGATAAATATACTGTAGTTGCTAGTGGAGGAAAAAAAAACATGCTTAAACACATGGAAGCTGGGAAGAATAGAGTAAAAACACTGACTGATATAAAATATATGATAATTGTTGGGTATTTTTATGAAGTCCTTGTGGTGCAATGTGTACAGTTTTGCTGCAAAAGCCTCAGCAGGAGGCTGTTAAATATGACAGAAGTATATGTGTTAGATATTGAGAATAATACAAAGAGAAAAGAAAAACATGTGGAAATGTGAATTATGCTCAATTTTGCATAACATCCTTTCAACAGCTGCAGTCTGCCAATCAATTCCAAATAAAGATAAAGTTTAAAAGGTGCATTACTTATCACCTAGCTTCATTTTCATCTCTTTTGTAAAACAAACCCCAAAATACTTCAACATTATTTGAGAGCCGTCGTGTCCAACGTGTCGACAAGACAAAGAAGGATCAAAGCAAGGACTGCATAAAACCACCAAGACCTTCGTGAAAAAACTGAGCAGCATCTATAATAATGAGGGTCATTAATCCTAATAAACCTTTTCACCAAGACAAACAGAAATCTTGACAGCTTCTGTGGAAAATTGCAAAGAGAACATGAGCGGCACGGAGATGGACAGCAAAAAGTAGAGCATTTAGAAGAAAACCCGGAGAGCACAGGTGCGATTCTTTGACCGGGTCATTTGGCTATTGTGTGGCAGTGACAGCTCTAATGGAAAAAATGACAGGCAGCCTAATAGACAGAGATGGAATGACAAAGCAATGGAATAGAAAAGAAAGAAGAAAGAAAATATAGATAGATGGACATAAACATAGATATACGTTGTTTGACGTCAAATGAATTGACTACATCATTTGTAATGAGCAATGCTGCAGTGATATTTCTATCAGCTGACTTGTTACCTCACTGAAATTTAGGATCATTATTGTCTGAGAAAAAATTTTGAGTTGGTCATAAAAGAAGGGATTAAAATGCCTCAACCAACAGAAACAATATATGAACTGAGTGATAATTATTGAAATCAGTGTGCTCTCATCTCTTTATCTGGACAAGCTCATTTCTTACACTCCAACTTTGTCAGAGATTTATCAACGTCTGGTACAGAGATTGGTGGAGAAATAAATGTCCTAGTAGGATGATCAAAGACAGGTTCAAAGTTCAACTTAGTACGAGTAGAAATAATTAAATCATCAAAAAAATGATCTGGAAGAGAAAACGGCACTGGTGACATCAAGATTATCATTATTATTTTTTTTTTTAAGTTTGATCTACCTTTTAAAGAACAGTAAATCCTTTTAGTTGCCTAATCTGAGAAAGATTTCACTTCACAAACTTTTGCAGGATGGTTCACATTTTCTCTTAGCATAGCATTAAAATAATAGTCACATTTTGACTTTCTTTTTAATTTAGTACATTTATTTCTTAATGATCTGCACATAGTCAAGTGCAATTTGTAAGAGTGTTTGTTCTCTTTACTTTAGTCCAGACAGTCTCTGCTTTTCTGAGGTGACATTCTTGAATTTACCGTCACCTCCCAGCAGAACCAGCTCTGGATTTGTCGCGTTGTACAGAAGATCAGTAAGTGAAGCAGCTGCTTAACTTATGGCAGCGGATGATCGACACCAGCCAACAATGTCTGAGCTGTTAGGAAGCAAAACAATTAGTGGTGAATGCAGGTGCAGTTCAACTAGCATAAACTGTTATCTAACCTCCTTCTTTAGCTTGGTCTGTTCTAAAAATACCCTTAAAGTTAATCATGTCGTTTATGACGGATTGATTAAGTCACGTCTCTGGAAGAACGTCACAAGCTGTAGTTTGGAGCCGAAGCTTTAATCAAGTCCCTTTTGTTATTTATGATTTGCGCATTAAGGGTTGGGTACATTTCTGAATGCACATGACAATCATCTCTATGTCATGTGCATTCAGAATGAAGCGAGAGCACACAATAGTTTGATTTGGAGAAAGTGAAGAAGAAGTGTCTGCATCACCGTCTCCACAAAGGTTTGGTGGACGGTGCAGTTAGCCGGCTCTAATTTATAATTAGTGTCTGTTCCCTTTTTGGTAGCATGAGCCAATTAGGAGCGATGACAACCTGTAGCATAGAGTTTATCTCTTAAATGGAAGGAAAACTCTCACTTTAAAGCAAATACAATGAAAAGTAAGATTTCCATAAATACCAGCCTACAGAAATATGCAAAGAAAAGAAAAAAAAAAAAGACGTTACATCTTGGTGAATGCACAGCATGCACGCCGTGTTATTTAAGTTATAATTTAGAGTTTGGCTTAAAAAAAACAATCCATACATGTTTATGTTATTGTTTTTATTCTCTGTGTGGGAACATTTTTTGATGTTTGGTTGCCAAAAGCAATTACTCATTAATTTAATGTAATTTAATTACATGCTATTTTATCTTTTAATGTGCGCAATGTGGTAGTAAGGGAGACGATCGAACATTTCAAAGCTCAATACCTGGGTGTACTGCTGGAGTGAAAAGAGATATTTGTTTGCAAAAACAAAGATTTTCCTTCTACTTCTTTGTAAAATCACCTACTGCCTGTTTGTGTTGCCAAAAAAAAACAAAACAAAAAAAAAAAGATCCCTGAAGCACAGACTTGGATGAATATTCAATTTTTGCACCAGCTCATCAGATTTTTATCTGATGAGAATAAAGGAAGATTGTGTGCATGCACTTGATTGATTTAACCGGATTATTTTAAAATAGATTCTGAAGTTTGAGGCCAGATCCAGAATATTTCAGGCTTTGCCGATACAGATTTTAGCCAATTCCATTTTTTTTCTCTGAAAGAATTAGATTACAAGGAAGAACAAGAAGAGCAATAAAAAAGGTCCTCTTAGCTTTCTTATTCTTTTAGCTTTTTTATTATCCATTAGCATATGTTAGCACGCTGTGTGTAAAGGAGTATAAATACTATTTATAAAAATGAGGGCCATATTGATGTCCCTGTACTGATTAACATGGCTCTGAGATTTCTAACTTGTTAGCCACATTTTTCGATCCAGCATCAATTACATAAAGAAGTAGAAACCAAAGAAATATATATATAAATTAGAGCAACATTGCTGTGCCCTGGTTAGCTTTCCTAGTATCTTTTAAAAGTGTTTCTCTCTCTCGCTCTCATGCAGCCTGGACGAACGATGCTGAGACGTGCGGCTAGTGATGCGTTCGCTGGAAAACGGACAAGGTGAACATCGTCAGATTCCTCGGTGCGTTACCAGTTTTAATGTTTTTAAAAATACTTTTTAAAAATGCTAAAACCAGGTTAAGAGTCAGTTCATTCACTGTATGAACATCCACTCACTATATTACAGCGTCGTGAGTGGATGAGTCCATCCTCACACAGCTTCAGTGTTACCAAAAGATCCAAAGAGATCAAGTGATTCAATCAGAGGGTAAACTAGATTAGGGTGATTTGGATTTGTGAGGGAGGGAAAAAAAGCCGGAGGGGGAGGAGGGTAAGTTTAAGAAACTTAAAAATTATACTTAATTAAGAAAGAAGATGGCTTTGTCTAGCCTGGAGCCCCAGTGGGAGAGCAGCGGATTACTGGATTACATGGAGCGTCGCTGGTCATGTGAGGCAGCATGGTCTACACTGACCCAGCTTACCATCTTTGAGTAAGGAAGCTAAGCCTGGCTGTGAATGTGAACACACACATGGTGCTGGTCAAGCATCCTTCAATCTCCTGGAAAGACCTTAAATGACTTTTCTATCTCTGCTTGGCTTCCTCTCATACCTCTTTTATATCTTTCCTTCTTAGTTTTTTCACCTTCTCTTCCTCTCCTGACACCTTTTAATTCTCTTGACTATTTCTGTCCCCTTATCTCCTTTTCTTCCTCCTCGTCTTTTCCTGTCTGCCTCCTCCGGGCGAAAGGAGCCTCTTTCTGCTGCATGTTTTTGCACGAACAGCTCACCCATGCCCTCACAAATCCCGCAGTATTCACTTCCTCTTGCGATCAGTGGAGTAAACAATGAAACTGAAGACGGAAGAACACCCATTTCAGAACCAGGAGCAGAAACGTGGTGGTCCTAAATACAGGACACAGGAATATTAGCCTGGGTAAGTTTAACTTTCATTGACTTGCCAGCAGCGCATACAGCCTGTCTCTTGCTACTCTAGTTTGGTGTTTGAGCAAGTTGCACAAGCAATAATTAAGTTGCTTATTTTGTTTTCCCAGCAATCTTTTTCATGATATGGCTTGCAAATTTAAAAAAATATGCGATCAGCATACAGCTTGCTCCCTTTCTAGACAGTATTGCAAAATTGTCATTCATCATATTTTGCATTTTTCAATGTTTTGCCCTGGCTTAATGTTTTACAGATTAAAACTGACTTAAGCTAAGTGAGGTTTTTATACATTTTTCTCTTTATTTTAGTCCATGCTCTGGAAGGCTTCCTAAACTGGATTAATGTAATTCCATATCAAATTAGGGTTAGTATGAACTACGCACTGGAAGGTAATAGACGTATCGCATTTGCAAACTGCTGAACGCATAAGTTTGGATCAAAGATGGAGCTTTATTATGATAAACCTCCATCTTTGAACATCATGTCATAGGAGAGCTCCTGTTGTGGGCAAATGATTAGAGGGAGCAAGCTCAGACATGGCCTAGTCAAAGACTATAGACAATGCCAAGAAAAGTTTACCACCGTACTTAGACGGAGACAATAACAAAAGGTTAACTAGATAATTGGGAGAATCACACAAGAGAGCAGCAGACTTGAAGGCAGAGCAGAATTAGTGGAATAAAGAAACACTAAAGAAACACAATAATCCTAAGAATGAAATGAGAAAACCTACAGTTGAAAAATCAAAGTCCACATGACAGCAAAGAATAGGCTTATAACTTTTAATATACATATCTAAAAGTATAGAATTTTTTTGTTAAAAAGGCACAAAACTACAACCAAAAGTATAATTTCATTAAATCTTAACATATTAAATTGTATAATGCTGCAGCGTTAAATATTAATCAGTTTTATTCATATTGAACATTTAAATTATTAGTGCTACCAGTCAGCGCTCAGACTTACTTCAGCGATAAAATAAAAAATGAAAATGAATTAACTATACATACATTTTTCTATATATATGGATAATTTTGTTGTTGTTTTGCATATTGAATTTTACCTTCCAAGTTAAAGGGAGATTTTTGTTTTTTCTTTCGAAATAGTTTATTGGTACTTGGGACATTTTAAACATGGCATCGCAACGTTATACAGAAACATTTTTTACATTTCTCTTAACAAGTACAAGTAAATTAAACTAAAAGAAGATAAGAAGAAGGATATTAAAACAAAATCTCTGTATGTTAAAAGTTTAGCAGGACCGGAGTGACTCCTTACGTTAAAGCGAGATATAATTATTGAGAGGACAATATATTAGAACTGCGACTTGAGAAATATTGTCTTTAAATCCGTGTCAACCATCAACTTAACACTTAGTGTATTCAAAATTATTTTATGTCTTTTCATAAATGCTGTTAGACATAAAATTTTAATTTCACGATTTATTATCCTAACTCAAATATATCTTCCTTTTGTATGTTTCTATTTTCATACTCTATAATAAAGTAATATTGTTTTAATCTTTGTAAACTATTTTGCTTGCTCTGTTTGAACTGTTTTATAAATAATATTATGAGGAAAAAATCCAAAACATCTTATATATTTAGAAGTAGCTTTCAAGTTCATATTACACAAAATAATATTACTTTTTGTTATCCCCCTCTTTATAAAGCTTCACAACACGCTGACATCAGCTGGTTAGTTAGTTGTGCTATCTGCTCTGGTGCCTGCTGTTTAGTGTTTCACAGAAACACAGCTCATAGCTATAACATGATGGGCTTCTGTGTTTATTTGTGACTGTATTTTCTTTACAGCCACAGAATATTTTTGTAACTCTGGCCCTCTGTCTACTGACTGGACTTTCGCTGGTTTTGGAAAATAAAAAGACATGATGGCAAGAAACTTGATGGTATTATGAAGTAAGAAAGTGCTCAAGGCAGATCTGTTGCAGCAACATAAATCAAAGATTTTACTTTTGCCATTTTGACAACTTTGCTGAGAAGGCAGTGAGGGGAAAGAGCAGAGCGGAGGGAAACATGGTCCCTGTTCACTGTCCCCACCATGGATCCAACTTTCACCATAGACTGAATCAGACAGAGTGAAGGATCACTTACTTTGTTTTTTAAGCAGCGACAAACGGCAAATAATTCAAAACTTTATCAAGTTGTAAACTGGTTTGTATATTTGCCGTTTTATTTATTTATTTGTTTTATCGTTTCAATTTTTTTCCATTGAAACTCTTGGAAAGCGTGATTCATTGCTAGTTACTGGGAAAACCTTTTTTGACATTAATGGGCATGCTTTTATGAAATCAGTGATTTATATTAAACTCAGTTATGCGCAGGCTGCACGTCGACTTGTCCTGTCGTCTAACGAAGGACTCAAGTCAAGAGCTGCTTTGCTTAAAAGGATCTTAAATGGTGGAACTAATTGCTTAATGCAATTTAACTCTTTACTCAATGACTTAATTACAAAAATATAGCAAGTGACCAATGTGTTTGCACAAAAATTAGTGCTATAGAGAGGCTTTTTCTAGGTATTTTATGGGTTTTTCTTTTTTAAAGCAAAGCAAAAAAATCTCTGGGTCAAGACATTCCTGTTTAACAGTTTATTAGAAATGCTGAATTTTATTTTCTGGGAAGAACTACAAAAACTACACTGAATTAAAAAAATATTTTTTATAACTTGGATCAGGTAATATTGAGAGACATTCTGGGACAAAAGTCAGTGTAGCTATTAAACTTATTTCAGTATCTTTACACACTAATATTTATTGGGTTTTTATATGACAGATCAACACAAAGTAGCTCATAACTTGAAAGATAAAGCAAATTTACCTTTTCATTTTTCAAAACATATAGATATGCATACAAAATCTGAATACGTTACTGAAACAACCCACATAAACTTATGTTTGCAGGTTACTTTATTATTCCCCCACAGAGAAGAATCTGCACTGTTCAAATGAGACCTAAAATGAACTTTTTTGATTTACATGCAAAACATTACTTTGTGTGGCAAAAAACTAACAGTGTGTAAAATTATGAAATATGGTGCTGGCAGCGTCATGCTGTAGGTGTGTACTCCTACATAGCGGACAAGGAAAGTGGTTGAACCTGATGGATTAATGTGGATGGGGCTGAGTCCAAAGCAATATGAACAGAAACCTGTTAAAGGCTGCAAAAGACTTGAGACTGGACCAGAAAACTACTCTAAGCATACAAACCAGAGCTTTGTGTCAGAAAGACCCAGTCAAAGTCCAGACCTCGATCAGATTAAGAATTTGCGAGGCCTGAAAGCCAATGTTCACGAATGTGACATATCTTGAACTATTTCACAAAAAAGAAAAAAAAGAAAAAACATCATAAACAAATGTGTGTAAAACTGGGTCTGAGCTGATCTTGAGAAATGGCCTGTTATTCTTCCAGCTTTAGTTGCAGCTGAAGTACTGACTCAGGCGGGCTGATAACAAATGTACCTCACACTTTTGATATCTTTATGTGTAAATATCTACAGTATTTTACAAATTCTCAGTGATTTATATTGAATTAAATTAAACTCAAATTCTCACGGTCTTCTCCTCACATGCAGGCGACCGTGGGCTGTCCTTGTTTTTCTCAGTTCCAGCTGCACGAACTCTTCTTATGGAATTAACCTCACAAACCTTGAGCATTTAGTGCTAGATTTGGTGTGCACTGCTGTCTGATCCAACCTAACGTAACCCTTCCCACCTGTCGCCACAAACCGTCCATCTTGCTGCTTCCCTTCGACTGACACGGCACCGCCGAGCGCTCTTAAAACTCGCTTTGTGCGACAGAAATGGTTTTGCCGTCCAAACAATGTGAGCATAATGGTATGCAGACAAGGACTTTTGACCTTATACATAAAAGCATTCTGATATCAAGATAAAAGTGTTATTGTCATCACTTTTACTGACAACATTTTAAAAAATAACTTAAGTTATTGACTGATTGATTCCAAATATTAAGTCAATAAATATCATAGGATAATATTTCAATGTTCAAATGATTGGTGTTATGATGTGTATTCATAAGAAAGAGCCCAAGAAGAGGTGAAACATGGATCCAGCAGCTAAATGACATTAGACGGACGGATAAAATAGAAAATGACAAAGACAGAGCAATTCAAAAGGCCGTAGGAGTCGATTTCCTCCCTCTACTCCAACAATCATCATCATCATCATCATCATCATCATCATCATCATCATCATCATCATCATATAACTGAACACTAAACCATTAAAAATAAGATCTGTGAAAACAGGCCAGCTGCTCCTGACTTTAAAATGAAAACGTTAAAAGTCGCCCATAACTCTGTGCGGACAGTCCGTAAAAAGACGCGCTGATCCGGCTTTTCTGCGTGGTCCTCATTAGTTCCTACTAATCGGACCTGACCAGGTTCACCTGAGGAGAAACCACAGGAGGCGCCAAGAAACCCGGGCGAAAATACTGAGAAGTCCTTAAATCAGTTTGACTGATTTAAGGCTTTTATTACACCTGTTTGTTATTGAATTGTTTGTAGTCTTAGAATAAATCACCTAAACTTAGGTAGTTTAACCACCTCTACAAATCATTAAATTATTCTAACCCCCCCGTATGGACCATTCGAAATTGCTCAGGTGTTAGCAATAAACAAATTTCACACTTTTACCTTTAACTTTTAAATTAATTAACATTTTAACAGTTTAATAAAGCTACCATTACAAGGCTTTGGTCAAAATGACACTTTAAATCCAACTTTTGCAGACTACTGCTATCTGAAAATGATTGAACACACTGACTTAACACACGTTTGCAAATCAGGCGTGGTCACAAACCAACCTGGTACCATTAACCGATGGCTTCATTAGTTGAATTAGGCTTGAAACAGAACATTGTGTAGTTACATCGCATGTTAAAGCTAAAGGAATAGTGGCTGCATCACCTGGATGTAGCAGGAAGACGAAGGCATCAATTACAGGTGATCAAAAC